TCTACCAGTTCAACAATGGATAACAATTGGGATCAAAAATTTTTCATTATTAACTTAACAACTCAGGTGAAGCAGAAAAATATCCTACTCAGAATGATGATTATGATGAGCATCATCATGAGTGAAAATTTGGGATCCAATAAAGTGCAACAAAAGAATGATGAAAAGAGAGAGAAAAAAAAGTTGCTCAATGATGAAAGGAAAAGATAGATAAATTGAAAATAGTTATTTCATGGTTCATGATATAGTGTTGTAACTGTGGTGAGTGATGAAGAGAGAAGAGTGAAAACGGAAAGAACAAGTTTTTCTAAATTATATGTGATATGGAATAGGTAATAATTGAAATTGAATTGTAGTCCAGATGATGGAGGGACCAAGTTGAAGTTTGGAATTGAAGAGAATGATATGATTAGAAAAAGTGAAAAGGAATCATGGGCATGATGGTGATGATGATTGTGATTGTAAATGAGGAGAAGGAATTTAAAGGGTGAAAATGGATGGATGATGATGTGCTCAAGAAGGATTGTTGTGGGAAAAGTTGAAAGAAGAGGCAACCTAATTGGGTGAATATCCGTGGCTGTTGATAGCTTCTTCAACAGTTAATACTCGTTTTGAATTTTGAAATCAAATCGTACAATTTCCTTCTTCACTCGCCTCAATTTTCATCCGCCTCTTTTCCATCCTCTGATTGTTTCAAGTGAAAAATGAGTTTTAGACTTTTTTCTACTTCACAAAGGATGAACACTTTTTGCTGTTTTGTTGCTCAGTTAACTGATGGAGGAAAGTTTTTTGTTAAGTTTTCATTTTTTTTCCTTCTTTGCCAATTTATCAATTTCCCGTTTTCCAAATTTTCAACCTTTGATTCCAAAAGTCAAATTGACGTTTCTTCATTTTGAATCAAACTGATAATCAAAAGATCTGCTCTTCAAATTTCTCAATTCGGATCTTTGGAAGAACAATGTCACAGTTCATAGGATCGAAAAATTTTGATCATTCTGATTATACTGTGTTTTTTATCTGTACCTCTAATTGCTACAGATTTCAGATTCAATCCATGAGCTTTCGCGGTTTAGAGGTATAGGATTTCAGCCTTCGTTCATGGTCATTCCATTATCTGACTTAATCACATTTGAAGGTCATTTTCTGAGAGTACGAACTTTTCTAGATTTGTATATTTGAACTGTCCACAATCTACTGTCTTATGAATTCAATGTCCCTATTGACAAGATTCAAGTCTTTATGCTAAATTATTCATCTGAAAACCAGACAGCTCGTCAAGGCAAATGATGATCATTTGATGAGCTCGAGTTCGGATATATCTTGAAATTCAGAAACGTCTACTGTATTTTCACCACAGACGAATGTTCACCATTTGTCGATTCATCTAATACCAGGCTTTTTTCATACGCCTGTTTGCAGTCATAACTCACGAACGATTGCTGTTAAAGAGCTCAGATTCAAACTATGAGCTTCTCGCAGATTAAATAACCATAAGCTCGAAGGCTCAAGTCATTCAAGGTCACTCCTTGATTTGAAATCTAAATGATATCAGAGAGTGAAAAAATTTTCATGTAGGCATTTAAGGGGCCAAATAACTGAGTGAACTTAAATGGCCTGAAGCGTTCGTGCAAAACGATAATCTAATGTCAAAGTTATGCTCACAAGTTTAGTTTGTAAAAATGTTTTGTAAAATTCATCTTTACATCTTGAGTAGCCAGCTTAGTTTTTTCCAACACGAAAGTCACCAAAGTTCAAGAAACGTTTCTTCTTCTTCCTCGTAGGTTATTTTCTTCACAAACTGTTCTTTTTGTAAAAAACTGTGATTCTCCTCATCTTGAAACTTATTCTTGACCTCTTTATTTCTCTTCATTTCTCCATAATATTTGCATATAAAATATCATCCATGACTGAGTTAAAGAGCAAAAGAGCAAAAATGTTTGCTCTAATAAAACAGAAAAAACGAAAACTAAACATTTTCAATTCTTTTTCCTTTATTCATTTCATTGACACAAGTCCATCTCTAGAGTAACTTTTATTTGGACTGTCCAAAATCAGTACATCAATTGAGTTGCAAGTTGGTTGCACAAATTGGTTGACCTTCAATCTGTTTTTATTTACTTGTTTACCCTTGCCAACTGTGCATATCGAATCTTGTTTTAATCTCTTCTCTTCCATCAACTTTTTCAACTAATTGAACAATTTGTATTTCTTCATGAAACTATTGGACAAAACTGAATCGAAGAGAAGAAAAAAATGTCTAGACGATCGAGAAAATTGACTATCGTGCTGAACAAATTGAAACAAATGGATCAACTTTAATCAATCTGATAAACTTCAATACTATTTTGCAGTTGTCATTACCATTATTTACTTTTTTCACTGTCTTCTGTTCACTTTTTATCATGTCAAAGTTTTCATCATTCTCATTATCACTTTCATGTAGAGAATTGAAATGATAATGAAAGCAATACTGAGGGAATGGAACACAAGGATAGAGGGAAAATCAATGAGAATTGCGAAAATGTAATAAGGTCTAATTGAAATTGATAGACAAAAGTGGAACAAGAAAACAATTCAATGATTGGAAGGAAAACAGAAGCAAAGACAAATTCAATGAAGTAATGATTATGGGTTTCCTATGTGATTATGATCATCAAAATGAAACTTGATTGGAGTAAATTGATTCCAGTGAAATGACATTCTGAATAAATGAAGGTCAAATTGAATATGAAAATTGTCAACTTTTTGAAAAGTTCAATTTTCTTTCCAAGTAAAGTTCAAGTCTTTTTTCTCAGGTTAAAATGAGCAAATCATGATAAGGTGATAACTTTTTTCTCTCTTCTTAAAGAAAACTAAAAAAAATCGAAATTGGTTTCTTTAAATTCTTGGCTTTTCTGCAAACCATTTTCTCGACCAATTTGATTGCTTTGCCACATAATTTTGCAAGCTCAACATTGAATTTGTCTCAATTGTATCAATTGCAAGTGTTCTAATAGCATTATTACATGATATTGAGTAAATTTCAGCCTCACTTTTCTTCTACAGATTTGGTTCTCTCTGAATGCAAAGAGGAAAATAAACATTAATTTAAAACCATTTTCTCATTCATCAGAGAGTAAATCTTGCCATTTCTGGACCGAAAGAAGAGGAGAAAAAAAAGAGAAATTCTGATTACCCTGCGATCGATAAAAGAAAGTGTCTTATGTTGAATTAGAAAGTAGACAAAGATATGAAAGTGAAAAACAAAGAGTTGACTGAAAAGAGAAAAAACGCAAAAAGTTCTCTGAGTTCGAAATCTGACTTTCTTTTGATAAGCATGAATTTAATTGTCGACAGAGAATCAGCTTTGATTCGAAACTGAAGATTTTGACTTTTTTAACAGAAAAATGAAGTTCCCTATGAACATTGAAATTTAATTGTGATTTTGTGTCGAGATATTTATTGATACTTCATGTTGCTCTGTTTTCATGATCACTCCAATAGAATGTATTTTGATTTGATAATAAATGTTGAACTCGATTTTTGTTGTACAGCTATCGATTTCCAAGATTTACGATCGATCTAAAGAATTTCAATGATTTTCTATTTTTTCATGTTTTGACTTTTTGCAGACTTAATCCGTGTTTACGCTTCGTTTTTTAAGAATTTTTGATTTTTGATGTTATTAGAATCTGAAAGTTTTAAATAAAGATTTTTTTTCTTACTCGACTTTCAATTTGATTGAATAATTTTGCTGAAAGATTTCGATTGAAGCTTGACATTAGCATTAATTGAAACAAATTGCGTTCCTTAATTTTGATTCATTCTTTATTAATTTCTCTTCTATTCAATAGTTGCTAATGAATAAACTAACCACTGTAAACATGAACACTGTATTGGTTAACAGAATGATAAATGTGTGAAGTTGATAAAGAATCATCTTTTCTATTCATAAGAATTCTAATGAGAAAAGTGAATAATATCAAGATCATTATATTACTCATTGTTTATCCTCAATGAATACCGTTGATGAAATATTTAAAGTTGAAAAAAAGAGCAAAGAAAAGTGGCGAAAAGACTGAAAAAAGGAAAACTGAAAAACAAAGCAACAATAGAATGAGAGAAAAAAAGAAGAAAAAAATGCAAAATTTGTCTAAAAACGTTTTTTTCTATGGATAATGATGATGAGCATGTTAATGAGAAATGATTTGATGAGCAAGGTGGATGAAAAGAAGAGCAAAAATAACGGTTAAACATTAAGATCCATCAATTTTGATTAAAATCTAATAATCGAGTTCACAAGAGATTCGAGTTTTTTGCTCCTTCCCTTCATCCTCCTTCCCAGTGTTGATCAAAAAAGGTAACATGATAAAGAGAAGAAGAAGAAGAGCAAAAAAAATGAATTAACGGGCAAATGGTTTCAACTACGTGAGCAGAGTTATGCTCTGAAAATTAATTAGATAAGAAAAGTTCTCAACTTATTTGTTAACCATTGAATTTACTATTAAAACCCAGCTGAATAGAGAAAAGGTGTAAAAATGGAGGAAAAATGAAACAAAATGTTAATGGTAACAAGAGAAAAGTTATTCCAAACTAATGAGTTTTTCGGCTGAAACAATGCAACCTTTTTGTATTTCAAATGAAATGATAACCATAATTTGAACGAATAATAAATGGCGATAAATTAGTAAATGGATTTACAATGATAAGGTTAAGGGTTAAACTTGTTGACAAGCAATGCGATTATTCAAAATGTTCATCAGTCAATTTATCGCTATTGAGATGTTTCCAGTTATCATCAATTGCTATCAACTCCCTTGATGTTAATATTTGTTTTAAATCCATTTACCGAGAAATTAATTGGGAAAAGTTTCTCTTCGTTATTTTTCTTCATCAATTTATTAACATCTCAAAAGTCGTCGGAAGTTGAGCAGAGTTTTGATGGTTTTGCTGTTTTTGGATTTTTTGGGTTTTCGAACTAAATTTTTTTCGTTTTTTTTTCGATTTTATGGTAAATGTAGATTTAGAAGGATATATCGTTCTAATTGGTGGACGAGCGATTCTTCCGTGTAACGTGACAAAGCCTAATAGTGATAGTTCTCTGGTTGCCGTTCTTTGGTATCATGGAGACAACAAGAATCCTATTTATACTTTGGATGCTCGTTCGGGTAAACCAGAGACGATGAAACACTTCGCCAGTGAACACCTCAGGAGTCGAGCCTTTTTCAATTTAACACAACCTCTTTCATATCTTCGCCTTGAACCGATTACTGAACAAGATACTGGGGAATATCGTTGTCGAGTTGACTTTAAACGCGGACGAACAATTAATCAAAATATCTTTCTCAATGTTATCGGTAAGTGAATCGATTAACATCTTGTAAGAGGATATCAAGATCGACCTTTTTCTTTGTTACTTCCAAACTTTCATAATTTGTTCGTTCATGTTCTAACCGTTCAGACAAATCAATATCGAGCTTTAACATTTTTGAAATTTCGGCTCATTTTAAGCTGAAAATGAAATTTTTCGAGAAAAGTGAATGTGATTTCGAATAGCATTTTGACTCTTTTTTGGTAGTGAAAAGATCAGAGTTTGGATTTAACCTTTTTGCAGTTCGGGTAGAGATTTGAAATAATCCATCTTTTTCATGGAAATGGTGAAACTGTCAAATCTTTGAAACCGTTTCTTTGTTGCTTTAGGTTAGGTAATCTTGAATGATAACATGAAAATATGATTAACTTATGGCTGTACAATGGATGCTAAGATTGTATTAATAGTGTAATGAATAATGAAAGAGACGCATGTTAATCGGATAAATAAAGTTATTATTCATGTTTAAGTTTAGCATTTCATTTTTGCACACTTTGATTATCATGTTAATTGCTTCACTAATTAGGTTAACTATCAAGTTGCAGACGAAGAAAAAAAGTGACTCCATTTTCATTGGAAAATAAATAATAAATATTACAGACAGGGAATCATGTTATCATTTCTTTGAACATATTCATAATTACAGATGGAAATGCACACACAAAAGCCAAATTAAATTAAAGTAATTAGTTTTGATAACACAATTTCGAGATTCTTTGTTAATCATACAATTCCATTTCACAATCAAATAAGATTTTCAGAAATTTCTTGTTTTAATAATAATCTAATTATATACTCCAAGCCTAAGTGCAAATGAATAATTAAAGAAAAGACAAAAAATCAAAGTTCGATCCAAGCAAATTCCAACTTGCAATCAACTTTACCGAACAAAACCAACCTCAGATTCAACGACTCGAACAAATGATCTTTCATTATAGTCAGTAATTTGACATGAACATCGCTTCGTTTCAAACGAACTACATAAATGTTAGAACGAAAAAATTGATCGAAAAATTTTCTCATTCTTTTTTATGCTCATTTCGACGTTTACTTGGCTCGTTTCAGTGCCTATTACAAAAGTGATTATCTATGATGATGACAAGAACATCATTAAAGACGTCGCTGGTCCATTCAATGAAGACTCCTGGGTCAACTTGACCTGTCAATCCGATCGAGGTGAGTTCCAAAGTAAAATGCTTTTCCATCTGTTGGATGTGAAAAATCGATTTTTTGTAACTTTTCTTTTTGTCTTTGATTCATTCAGGAAACCCGCCTGCTCGAGTGACTTGGTGGAAAGGAAGTGACCTTATTGATGACAGTTATCATCAAAGTGATAAAGGAAACAGTATTAACGTTTTTACATTTCAAGTTCAACGCAACAATTTAATGTCCATATTCACTTGTAGAGCCTTAAACAACAATATAACCTCACTTATTATGCAAAACGTTGCCATCGACATGAACCGTAAGTAGCTTTAAACATTACCATTTGCTTTTACACAAAAAGTCTTCGAACTCAATGTTCGCATAAATGCTATTTAAGGTCTTTATCAATGATAAAATGTTTTTGTGTTTACATTCAGGCAATTTTTGCTCATCAATCAATATTCACTCAACTAGTGTCACCTTACAGTGCGCTATTTAGGCTTTTTTATTTTCGTTTTTTTCTCGCCCAACTCTAGCTTTTATTAATGCACATCATTTAATTACATTGATTTTCAATTAATTTGATTTATTTAATTACATTTGAGGAACGTTAATACCGAGCAAACGAGTAAAAGTAAACAAATAAATAACAAAGAGACACACATATTGTGATGTCTGTTCATATGCTGATAATAATACAATGATAAGTATTGTAATAATAATTGAATGATGTTTAATGACTGAATGAGCAGCTAAATTACATTCAATTTACCTTGTAAAATGGATGAATCAAGGCTAATGGATTAACGTTTGAAATAAAAGTAATTAGACTTTTCTCTTTTCTCTCTACCTTTTTCACCTTCATTTCATTTATTATATTAACAAGTTTGGTTTCACAGGTAACAAGATAAATTACTTTTTGAACGCAAAAAGTTGATTAATGACATTTTCATTTCCAATTAAACTAATTTCCAACATTTTCTTCGATTGAACCGCAAGTGATATATGAATTTGAATGTAACTTTAATTTTGAAAAAGAGCTCAAAAAATCAAATTCCATAATGAACTGATGATTGTCAATGAACTTGGTGAAAACAAATGAACGTTTTAAAGCAATTAAATGCTTGGATTAGAGCCAAATTGGCCATCAAAACATTCATGTTGAGCATTAATTTTCTCGGTAATCATTGCTCTTTTAGTTAATTGCAATCATTAAACAGATTATTGATTAACCCGAAATTGCTTTAAATTGTTAGAGAACAAAGTTTTCGACAAATTGATAAACATTGTTTGAACATTGTAATTGAGTCCATGCATTGTGTTCATCTTATTCAACCCAAACCAACCTAATGATTAACATTATTGCATTATTACGATTATTAGTTTATTATGGTTTTGAACGATTGGCTGATCACAGATATGAAATGTTCATGCTAATTAAAGCTCATTTCCTTCATCAGAAGGTCCATTAAGAATGTAATATCGAATGCAAATTGTGTTCATTATTAAAGCCAATTTCATGTCAGTGGTTGAAGTTAATTAGTTTTACTTTGAATTCAATCCTAAAGCCGAAGCGATTTTCAAAGCTAACACTTTGCTTACGATTTCAAGATTTAGAACATGATTTACTTGGAATCGAAGTTTTCTGCAGATTTTCTAATAAGGAATAAGGAATAGGAAATTCGGGAAACTTTTATTCGATGGCAAAGGACAAGGTTCGATTGGTTTGAGAATTTGTTGCAAATATTCATTTTTTCAGTATTATCACAACTTTTCTTCACAGCCCAGTGGAAAAAACAAAAGGAAAAAATGTCAACCTCAATATACCGAAGAATTCGATGGTTTACTTTTCGGTTTTCATCAATTTATTGAATCGGTTTGGCAGAAATTTGATAATTCGCATTATTGCAAGAAATTTTTCTCATTCCAAGTTGCATTCTAATTCGACTTCTCACACTTTGCACATTCAGCATTTGATGTAAAAATTTTCATTTCGAATGCATGAATAAACAGTTCGAGGAATTTTCAGCTTGCAAAATGCAAAAGAAAAAATGATAGTTTGGATGGAAATTGCTCGATTATTGAAACTTTTAAACTTGCTTTTTATCCATTCCAAGAGTCCTAGGTTGAATCGCTTTTTTCATGATAAATTAAGTTAGCTTTGCAGTTGAAAAGTTGATGAAAGATCGAAGTTGATTATCATTGAAACTTTTGTTGTTAACTTTTCCATTCATTATTTTCTCAATTTTTCTTGCCTAATTAATGTTGATGCAACTCATCAAGTCACTAATTTTATGCACTCTTAACGATCTGATTCATAGTGAACCTTTGAGTAAAACTTGAGCATAATTTGAACAAAAACATTTCTTAATCAAATTAGCACACAAAACATATTGTTGTACTGCAGAGAGGAAAGTTGATGAAAAACTCTGATCAACATTTTGAGCAACTCTGTTTTGTCCACCTTTTCCCAGAATCCCATGCTCATAATCAAGTCTTCATGTCACAAATGGTTAATCCTAATTTTCCTTCTTTCCTCTTTCGTTCTCTTCTTTTCTCATCGAATGTTTCATTACAAGATCAGAATTCCCATCGGTCTCATGATCATTTTTCGTCATTGTCGTTGAGGTTAATCGATGCCAGGACAGAGTGAAAAAAATACTTGAAAATGACAGAAAAGGTAAAGAGCAAAGAAAGAGACAAAAAAAGGAAAAAGTAAAAGACCCAAAAGTTGACCCTCTTTGATGACTTGTTATAAATAGTTGAAGACCACAAATGCATGTCTATTAAGGTGACCTTATTGGGTAAACCCAAGTAAAGAAACTGATAACATGCGCTCAAAGATAAGAGTCATCATCATTCAAGAATCGCTTCATGTTCAGTTCACAATTTAACCAAAGTTTCAACTTGTTCTCAATCCATTTTCATTCTCACACTTTTCACCTTCATTTCCCTGCTTTTACGCTCATGTAACAATTAAACTCTCGAGAGGCTTGCAAAAAGAGAGCAACAAAGAAAAGGCAAAAAAAACTTATTCCTTTTCCTTCCCTGTCCATCCATTTGTGTCCATTCCTCACTCCCTCGTCTCTGGAATAAAACTTTAATTCCATGACCTCAGGTCAATCGAGTGACTTAATTAGTGATGAACGTTTCCATTCTTTGATCCTTTTCGTTAACACAAAAAGCAAACGCTTAAAAAAAAGCCAAACTCATGATTAGTTGAGAGACTCGAGATAATCAGCAAATCACCAAGGAAACTTTTCTTTCTTTTCACCTTTTCACTATATTAGGTAATTTCATTTATCTTCATGAATTTACTTTTGAAATTACTTGTAACTCGAGTTGCCCTTGCTAACGTAAAATACGTGACGGTTGATGGGTGAAAAGGTGAACTCGAAAGAAAAAGAAAAATAAATGAAACTCTTTTTTTCAACCATTCATCAGTGATATCCCGGTGAGCTTGTAATTTAGAGTCAAAGAGGTGAAATGAAAAGGGACAAAATATTGTCAAAGGTTGACTGGGAAAAGGGTTTCATCGAAGAGAGTTAATTGTAACAGTTGTTTTCCTCTTTACTTTTATCGAAAGGTAACTTGTTAATGATCCTTTTTTTTGCTTGGAAAACAATTTTGACCATTAAATTGTGAGCTGAAAACATGGAATCAGAGGATTGAAAACATGAGACCAAATCATGGTCATCATCATCATCATTTATAAGTGAAACACACACACTTAAGTAAAGATTTAGACAAAATTACCAACTAATGATGAACCAATTCAAATTGATTGACCCATTCTTGTTGCAAGAATCGAGTAAAAGGAAAAAGAAGACCAAATATCACTTTTTACACTCCAATATTGGGCCACTTCTGGTCATCAGCATTATCATTATCATGATAACATTGTACAACACTTTCAAGATGATTTACATGTACTCAACACAACCATTTGCTTCAATCATCTTCAATGTTTCCATGTAACATTACCACTTGACGAGAGATTCATTAATAACAGAATTGCTAAAAAATCGAATAAATCTCAATAGATTTTCTTTGGATGTTGATTTTTTTTCTCTATTACAATATTTTCCTTCCAAGATAATTACACAAGTTTCATTCAAACTAATTTTGTCGAGATCTTGAGCAGAAAGTTTACCATAAAATTGAGTTTAATTTATTGCTCGACATTTAAATGCATTTGATGAATCAATAAAGTTGCATTTGTTCATTCAAAACACTTTGTTCAAGACAAATATTCATTTGAAAAAAGCAAAAAAATGAATGCAAATAATTATAAATTATGATTAAACTCGCAATGTTTATTCTGTAGTCGAAACTCTCAAGTTCCAAGTTTGGCATCAAAAATAATTTACCATTTCACTCGATTCATCTTTTCATTTTCTGTTCACTCAAGGTTGGCTATAAATAGAAGTGATTTCAATGCTTTTCTTTGACAGTTGAGCTTCGACTTCAACTTCGATCATTCAACTTTTATGCAAAACTCTTTTGAAATTCATTTGTTATTCTCAGTTAATCTCTTGGAGTTTCCCTTACTTCCAATGAAACATTTGCTAATAACTTTGAAATAATTAAAATTGTTTCTTCTTTGATGACCATTTCGACAGTCAATTTATGCAAAAATTCGTTCGTTGAATGATGTGAGTTGCAGTTGTTCATTGATTAACTGTCTACTTTGTTCATGATAACTCATCATTAACACACTTGAAAGCACTTTGAATCATTTTTTTCAGTCCAATGTTTAACAATTTTCCATGACATTGAAACAAATTGAAGACAACAAATTAGCCACTTGACATTACATTTTTTATAACTCATCATGTTGAACGAATGAATATTAATAGAAGAGCAAAAAATATGTCATTTCATTGAGACAATAAAGTTCAACAGTGCAAATCATGAGGTTTGAAACAAGCTAATAAAAGTTCATCTCTTGAAATGTTTCAATTTTTCCCTTCTTCTGTTCAACCTTTATTTCAATATTGGAAAAGTGTTGATCAAAATGCAATTACTTTTCATGGTAAAGTTGCTCATTACTCTTGATTCATTAGAAGTTTAAGTTGATTAGTTGCCGATTGAAAAGCAACTGAATAATGATCGAAAGATGATGAGAGCGTAAACAATTTGTCTGTCTTGTTTGGCAAATGTTAATCAAATAACAAACTGTAAAACTAATGATGGACTGGTTTGGCTTTGATGGATGCGTTGATGAGTAAAGTAAATACATCTTGACTGACCAATAAATGGTATAAAAATGGACCAAGAAAAATATCATTTTGTATCAAATTCATTTTCAGTTATCACAAGTTTTTCGCTATTTACACAGTTGAGAGAGAGAGAGAGACAAGTCAAGAATCTAATTTCACATCATCTTGAACCCATTCAACTGAACAAAATCTCATCTCAAGGAATCTTAATTGCATCTTGAAATCATATGATAAAGCGAACTGATCATTTCATCAAGACAAGAATCATTATGAGAACTGGAAAGCTACGAAGAAATTGGAAAGAAGCAGAAAAAGGAAAAGTTGAAGAAAATCGAAAAAATGAACAAAATCCAAGCAAAGTTTCGCCAAAATTTAATCACTTTTTTCGAATCAAAGAGAGAAGATCGAAAAAATGTGCAAAATTTCATCAGCAGAATGAACCAGAATTTTCGATTAACGGCATTTTTCGTTGGCAACTCTTGATTGATACCAAAGTCAAGCAACTTTGGCAAAATAACATTAAGAAAATGATGAAAATAGATAAACAAAAATATCTTTTTACAAGCATGATTGCATGTTCCCCTACATGAGAATTTCAATTGAAATTTTCTTTTCTCTCTTCAATACTTTCAAATAACTTGGAATATTCTTATTCATAAAAGGCTAAATTGGTTTCAATCTTTTTCCATTTGAAACTCGTTCGCCCTTCTTTTTCCTTCTAATTTAACTTATTATTGCCATTAATATCATCCTTTGAATGCTCTTTTGTGTTGTTATCTTTAATGAAAAAAAACAACTTCGAAATACAAAAATCTCGATTCCTTAAATGTTTCAATTGGTTCAATATGGAAACATTGATAATAGTTCAATGAAATGGAACAAAAGTTTTCTCCTTCTTCTTCCAAGAGAAGCAAAAAAGTTCTGTTAATAGCATCATGAAAGAGAAAAATAATTGCATGATGTTTACACTTATATTGATAATAATATTATTATCATCTAATCGATAATAATAATGGTAACCTTTTTTGATTACCTTTATTAACCCACACAACGACGTAACTTGATTATGTCGAGTGATAATAAATTCATGGAAAATGAAGAAAAACTGAAATGAATGTTGACAAATAAGAAATTGAGTTTTGCTTTTTTTCTCGAGCACAAAAAAAAGTTCTTTCAAAGATTCATTTTCTCATTGTTTAACCATTCCTGTTCAGGTGTAAAATGACGACTATTATTAATCTTCACTTTGCTATTAATAGTTTATCAAGTTTGTGGAAAAAACGTTTTCCTTTTTGATTTCGATTTTAATTAGGTTTATTCAAAAAGTGTTTCAATACATTTGATATTCATTTGTGAAAAGCAATCTATTTGGTTATAAAAGTTTCTGAAGAAGGAAGAATTTTTGATGAAAGTTTTGTTTTCCTTTGAATCTTTTCTTGCAGTCAAACCTCGTGAAATAAAGTTGATCAATGCACCTTCAGTTATGCTTACTGGAACTCAATATGAACTGATTTGCCAATCAATTGGTTCCCGTCCTTCTGCTAAGATTAATTGGTTCAAAGATGGTCAACTATTAACTGGTTTGGGTGAATCAACCTCAGAAGATGGTTCAGTAACTACAGCCTATCTAACCTTCGTGCCTTCAGTAGACGATAACGGAAAAAAGCTGACCTGTTCAGCTGTAAATGATAAATTTCCAGATTTTTTTCTCGAAGAATCTCTAATTCTCAAAGTTAATTGTAAGTCAACCTCCAATGCCATTTGCTTTTCAACAGAAAACAGTTCGCTGCAAGGTTTAAAGTTTTTTTTTACTTTTCCAATCGACTCGTCAAGTGATGAACTCGACTTGCAAAGGCGAATTTGTGGAGAAACTTTATCGAAAATATTGCAATTCTCACTTTCAGAATCTTTTGCTAAACATTCATGTTTCTGACTTTGATGTTTTGTGAATAGAATGAGAATAATCTGGGTTTTAATCAATTTTACATTATTTTCTTCAATTTCATTCTCTTTGCTTTACCACCGCACTTTGCATTCAGTTGTACCCATTCTATCTCTTGCCTTGGGCTCAAGCATCCAGAATAAGGATATCATGGAAGGAAGTGATGTTTACTTTGAATGCAATATTCAGGTAATAAAGCTTTAACCAAACTTGATTCTCTTTTCCATCAATGGAATCATGAATATGTAGAGAAATTTCAATTGTAATAATCTTTTTATGTGAACAAATCTTCTCTCGACTCTTAGTCCAGTCCGCCTGTCAACGATATTGGCTGGTTTTATAATGAAAAGAAGCTTGAAAGTGATAACAAACAACGAATCTCTGTCAATAATAGTTCACTTCTTATTCGTAATGTTGGTAAAGTTCATTCCGGTAAATATCAGTGTTGGGCTTCCAATGATATTGGCAAAGGATCGAGCGATACTGTCCATTTGGATGTTAAATGTAAGTTCAACTTTTGACTTGAAATTTATCAATCGGTTCACTTTGTTTTACAATTGAATGTTGACTAATTCATGTTTAATGTTTGCTTCAATAACCATTAAACTAATTTAACACTAACCTTGATTTGGTTCAATCTATTGTTAAATCAGTTAAGTGATTTAAAATTCAATTCAATTCACTTTCATCATTCGTCTTCACCTTTTCTTTCATCGATTGGTCAAAATTTATTTTCGTCCTTTTCCAATTACCAAGTTGAATAAAATTACCTGGAAAATCAGAAGAAGAGAGAGAAAGAGATTGAAATAAGAATCTGGATTCCACTTGAATAAGCCAAATCAACTATTAAATCAGTCACTTTATGCTTGTCCCAAACAAAATCAGCATAACATGTATTTAACATGAATTCAATCTGTTAATTACAATTGATCCAAATTGAACAAGTTGAGATTGAATGAAAAGTTTATCATTGCAATCGAACTTTCTTTTTAATTAATTTGTTCCATTTCGTTTCAGATATTCCTGTATGCAAATCAGGGCAGCGAATTCATTATGGTGTGGCTAAACATGAAATGGCTGTGATAGTCTGTGAGGTCGATGCTGATCCAAGTGAAGTTACTTTCCAATGGACCTTCAACTCTACACTTTCCCATGTTTACACCGATGCCAACCTCAATCTATACAATAGTGTTGTTGCTTCCAACAAAAGTGAAGGCGATGAGGAGATTAAGTACACTGTTGATGGACTGAAAAGCATAGCAACTTATACACCAAAGCGGCCAATTGATTATGGAGTTCTTTACTGTAGTGCTTCCAACCGGGTCGGTAAACAAACTGAACCTTGCCTTTACTTTGTCATTCCAGCCGGTAAGTCGATCGAAATGATTTCAAAAGACATTTCCAAGATCAATAGCAGTCATAGTTCGTACATTTCCGCTAAAACAACTGCAAATAATGCATCTGAATGAACAATAAGTATCAAAAATCATTCATTTTTCATTTGCAAAGCACTTGCAACACGAAATAACTTTCATTAACAACCAATCATTGCTAATTTAAAGCAAAGTTTATGATCAATGTAGTTGGATTTCGTTTGTTTAATAATATGTTGCGATGTTGACCAAAAAGTTTTCCTGTGCATTCAACATTCGACCAAAGATCAAGTTTGACTCTTTAGGCAAACTGAGAAGCTTAAATGGACTGTGGTGCAAAATGTACAGTCGACTTATCTTGCCGTTCTTATTAAGTCAACTTTAACTAAACTAAATGTTTTGTGTTATTCATTCATGGCATTAGTTGCAAGTTTTGCAATGAACGTAAAGTGTTTGCCCAACAAAAAGCTAACTATTCTCTTCATTTCTGTCTACTATTAATGAACAGAACAGTATTGACCGAAGTTTTAGACATAGTTTTGATGAACAGGATTTCGATTCATCAGCTTTAAGTATCTAAGTTCAAAGAAACGTTCAAATAGCTTGCAAGCAAAACACTGAAATAGTTAATAAAATCTCTCAAAACAAGAAAAAGAGAGAAATTCTGACCTCGTAACTTGTGATGCAAATGAATGAAATATATTGAAACATTAAACATGCAAATTGTCCAGATAGAGCAGGGATTTGAGGAGGGAGAGAAAAATTGAATAAAAAGTTGAATGAGAAAAGGAAAAAACTGAATCTTTCGACTGAAAATTTGGCAAGTGAAACAAATTTTATCAGATCAAATTGAGCCTTTTAGCATAAAGATATTTTATACCTTTTCGTCTAAACAAATGTATTCATTGCAAATTTTGTCAACATTTCATTTTGATTCGCATTAAATTTCATTGTTATTATCTTGATGAAAATTAAACAAACACAAGGTTCGAGTAATAATTATGATAATTTGTTTCTTTTTAAACCATTTTTTCGCTTTCTCTTCTTCATAATCATTCCATCATCATCATCACAATCATCATGTTTAATGCAATTGTTTTTATTAGTCTTTTTGTTGCATTGAAAATTGTTGGTTTTCGCTTTGAAAAGCCTAACAATGAACAGCTAACAACCAATTGGTACATCCATTAGCATCTTGACCATTCTTTTAATTCCTTCACAATGAACTCTAAATTATCCAACCATGAATTTCATTCTGCTTTTCATTCTTCCCTCACTCATTTGCTCTTCATTCCTATTCATGGTCAACTGGATTACACTAAATTCTGACCTGAATCAAATTATCAACTTTTATCCTTATTTGTCAGCCAATCTCAATCATCTTTCCCTCATTCCCTTCATGAAAACCAAGTTTAGTGAAAACAAGTTATCCAAGTTGAAGGGAAGGAGAAGAAAAAAGTGGAAAAAATCAAATTCTATTCAAAGTTAATCAAAATTGTTGATACAAGTTCAACATTTTCCATTAAATCGAAAAAGCTATTCAAATATTCAAAAGAAGATGAAAAATTCCATTCAACCTTTTCTCCTTTAATCTGTAAAGTTTCGCTCTAATCTATTAATGGGATTAACAGATTTACAGGGAACCATTTCTGCTCTTCCCTTTGACCAAACAATTGGCAAAGGTTAACCCATTGCCGTTGCTCCTCTCTTCGTCCTAATCGATAAGTTTCCAACTTATTTACTCCCATCTGACTAACCCTTTATTTACCATCATAAACATCTTTAGCATCATCTTGCAACTTCCAATCCAACTTTTCTATCTCATTTCATTTCTTCTTTTTTTCGCTTCTCATCTTCTCTCCATTTACTTCGTTCAACTTGCACTTGCACAGATTTCCATCGATCAATATCTTTCTTCTTTCACCAAATCCTTTTGATTATGCCGATGATAATGATTCTATTTTTCCCTCTTCTATCCATTTTAATCATGATCTTTTCAACAATTTTTCAAACATTCACTGGCAAAAGCTAAACAGAAAATGAAACAAAAAAAAGTTGAAATCAATATCATCAATGATTAACTAAACTTATAAGAGCGAAAAAATAATAATAACTGGCCTCATTAATCGATACTTGATCATCATTATCATCACTGTTACCATCATTTCCTTGTAAACCATTTCTCACTCCCAGTTGCACTCCCAGATAGTGTGATGTGATACAATTTATAATTCAAGTTGATTCTTTTGTGCAAGGCAAAGTTTAACAGTTTTTTTGCTCTTCTTCTTCTTTAAAACTCGAGACTGAGAGGGAAAAGAGAGGCTGAAAAAAATTTGATTGTTCAACAAAGAGACAAGATGAAAATAAAGATTAGGATGAGAGGAATGATGTTGATAATGATGATGAGAATGAAAAGAATGGAAGAAAATGAAATGAGAAATAAAAAGAGAAGAAAAACGATCGCAACTTTGCCTGTCAAGTTTAACTAATGAGTGTTATCAGTAAATAAACTGTATATCAAGTGCATTTTGTGTGTGTGTTGATCGGGTTAAACTTCAAGTTCATTGGAAGGACAAATAAAATCAATTATTGAAGTTGGTTGTACCAAGAAAATGAAGACATTTGGATTGTGAAAAAAAGTTGTTATTAAACAAGAGAAGCAAGAAAAAAAACCTGAAAAAGAGAGAAAGTGGGGAAAAAAGAGTTGAGAAAAAAAACGAAAATATTGTATTCCAAAGAACATTATTGACTGGAAATGATGAAGATGAACATGTCAAGAAGGAAAAGTGAATTATTGCAAGAAAGTAAAGGGTAACAATTTGATTGTCAGTGTGACAATTTTTCCTCTTCTCATTTTGGTTAAGAAAAGGTTGCAATTTTTGTAAAGAGTTAAAGTTTCTTCATCAGTCGAGTTTGCAAATTTTGATGGAGAAAAGTTTTCGTTTGCTTTTCATGTTTAATATTTCAAAAGGCGAGTAAACAGTTTTTTTTTCTTCGTTTCTCTGTTCAGAACATGAATGGAGCAAAATTTTCATTCCTCAAATGGATTCATGGATTGATTAGATGAAGGGATATAATTGAATTAAAATGAATTACCAACAATAGCCGTGAGCGCAACAAGAATCGTTTTCAAACTTTTCGTTGAAATATCTGTAAAATTCGTTGATCGTTTTTTCCCTGTTGACCAACTTTTTGTTTTTCGTTCTTGTTTCCAGCTTCTTTTCAGGACAAGAATTTAAGATTAGTTTACTGATGAACAAGTTTGGATGAAAGAAACCGCAAGAAAGAGGGAAAACAATGAACTTAAATTCATTAGTTGATTAAGTTGAAAAGATTGTTTAAATTCATTAGTTGAAGTTTCAAGTTGAAATCTTTTGTCTTCATCATCAACTGGCATCATGTTGTTTGTTCATTTCTTTTTCTTCCTCGTCTCGCCATCTTCTAATTTGTTAATAAACACAATTTTGTTTCTTAAACAAAACTTATTCATCGTTTACGATTTGAGTTCAACAATTGAGTTAATCTTGCTTTCCACTCTTTCTCTCTTCTCTTTCATTTTCCCTTTATATCCATTACTATAAGTGGAGTATTAATCTTATGCTCAAGAATTCAAGATGAATTGGTGCAATTTAATCTGGTCAATTGTGTCAAGAGTTGCTTCTAAAAGTTTTATTTACTTTCTTATTTTTCTAGTTTATTCTCAAATTTTAAGGTCAACATTTATTTTACAAATTTCATTTGCAAATTCACTACATTTTATGGAATGAAATTTTTCATGGGAAAAGTTTCAGTCAATTTTCGCATTTTCCGTGTTAGATGGATCGTCAGTAGGATAAGCACTTTGAGCATACAGTTTATCAGTTTTCCGGAGAGAAGGACAAAGGGAATGCAAGAGGCAATCAAAAGTATATTAAAAATGAGTTCGAATCTCATTTCATTTTCATTTTTGTTTCAACCCAATACTTCAACCATTTAGTTTGAGAAGTTTATGAAATTTAATTCAAAATTTTTTAGTCAACTTGAAATTCGATATCGAGTTTTATTCAGCAAATAAGCTGTTTAACTAGAGATATACAGTCAAATAATATGATTTGTTTACAGTTTGAATTAAAATTACATTTGATTAGACGAACTAAAGAGAAACGAAAATCTGATAAACACCGAAAATTGAGAAATATTTTGTGTCAAAAGTGTATTATTCACAAAACAATAGTAATTTGCTTGTTTGAAATAGAAAAGAAAACGAAGGTAAAAGAACAAAAAAAGGAGAAAAAAATGTTGATACAAATATTGGAACAACATGATGAATGGTGAAATGAAGTTACACTTTTGTCTTCCAAGTTTAAGCTGAATCACCAACTAGTTTGTAACAATCAACTTACACTTATTGTACCATAGAAATGCATGTGAACAGAAACCGTATAATAATGATTTGAATTATTGTGCAAAGAAAAGAAACTAAACAAAATGAAATTGAGCAAAATTCATTCTCTCACAGCTTCATCATGAAACGAAATCAAATAGAACACAATTCTATCCTCAATGAAGATAAAAAAGAAGATGAAGAAGAAGATCGAAGACGAAAATTTCCAAATCTAACCTTTTCTCTCTCAAAATAATACAAAGTCCAATCAAATGATCTATTCAAAGAATGAAAAGGTAAAATGAAATCTCAATCCTTTGAAGTCATGAGATGAGAGAAGTGGTTCATAATATCAACGAATCTAATGGTTTGACGAAAATCGCTTGACTCTAATTCAATCAAACTGAACTGTTCCTTTCACCAAACATTTTACAATTAATCTATTTTTCGTTTTTTTTCAATTTTTCATCTTTCGATATCTTGGGTTTGACCATTGAAAGCCAATTAGATTGAACCTTTCAAGACGATTCGAAGTGAAACAGACAATCCTTTCATTAGAAAGGAAATTTTCATGAGATTCTGTGAACATTGTTAGACAACAGTTGAGCAAACCTTTAAACATCAGTCTAATC